CTATGTGTCCAATCTTTAGGGATAAATCATGATTATAAAAAAACAAAGGAAAGACAATTATATGTCCAATTTTTGGGATAGATCATGATTCGGATTTTGTAGTTATCATGATAAAGATTTATAATATTGTTGTAGGCCGTAGATGATCATTCTCATGAGTCATGATACATATTCCATTTACCAAATAATGCATTTCTTATTTTGTTTTGGTACAATACCAAACACACTCAAACAATGATTTAACATTTACTTAATTATACACAACTTGATATAAACTAGTTTACCAATACAACTTATGTATTAAGCACTGTGTTATAACTGTACTATAATTTGTACCAACTCTTATGTAATTAATCAATAAATTAGCGTTACTAAATTTTGTAAACGGTTAAACTATCATTTTCTATCAATATTATTAGTTTCTATTGTACAATCATTTTATACCACTATTTTGTACCATCTTCTGTTACCAATAAGTTTCTATATCATGAAGAAAAAGTTGTGACATGGTTTGTTATTTTGGTAATTTTATTACAATATACAAAAAAATTGTAACTAAAGACTTTAGCCTTTCTAAAACCTAAAAGAGGTTTAGGGAACACCGATACGTAAGCTCGTTTTCCTACTGGTTGTCAAAAATGGTTATAAACTGGTAAAATAACTAAGATCTACTTATGTATTTTTTTTTCTTCTAATAGATAGAAGAAAAGTGTAAGTCATCACGATTGATTGTTGGAAGTAAATATGAAAACTATCTAAAATTCTATAAAATGTCACGAAAATGAGTTCTGACTTCTGAATAAGAGTTTTATTTTTATTTTCATTTTTTTTCCCTTGGAGATTTACATGCATGCACCGGTGTGTGATTTTGGTCTGCAATTTATAGAATTCACATGTGATTGATTTCTTGCCACATAAATAATTTTGTTTCCATATATAATATATAATATATTTTCCATGTTTACTATTTTTTCCAACTCAAATCCGGTGGATCTCTAGTTATGATCAC